TACGCCTCAATTTATTGTCTGCTAATGTACTTGATCAAGAAGGTTACAAGCATACTTTTGGTGAGGGTAAATGGAAATTGTCAAAGGGTTCTTTGACTGTTGCTCGTGGCAAGCTTTGTTGCACCTTGTATAAGACACACTTGAAAGTGTGTACTAGTGAGTTGAATGCTGTTGAGGAGAAAACTTCTCCTAACTTATGGCATCGCAGATTGGGCCATGTTAGTGAGAAGGGCATAAAGCTGTTGGCTGGTAAGTCTCTTATTCCTGCTGATGTTACCATTTCACTTGACCCTTGTGATCATTGTTTATCAGGAAAGCAGCATAGAGTTTCTTTTCCGAAGAGATCCAGGAGAAAGAATATGAAGCTAGAGTTGGTTTACTCTGATGTGTGTGGTCCTATTGAGGTGGAATCACTTGGTGGTAACAAATACTTTGTTACTTTTATTGATGATGCTACTCGGAGAACTTGGGTTTATATGATGAAGAACAAAAGCGATGTGTTTGGCATCTTTCAGAAGTTTCATGCCATGGTGGAAAGGGAGACAGATTGCAAATTGAAGCGTCTTCGAACTGATAATGGAGGTGAATACACTTCAAATGAGTTTAAAGCATATTGTTCAAGATATGGCATTTGACATGAAAGAACAGAACCTGGTACCCCACAACATAATGGTGTTGCCGAGAGGATGAACAGAACTATTGTTGAGAAAGTGAGATGTATGCTTAGGATGTCCAACCTTCCTAAGTCATTTTGGGGAGAAGCAGTTGGAACCGCTGTGTACTTGATAAATAGAGCACCATCAGTTCCTTTGGAGTTTGATATTCCTGAGAGAGTTTGGTTTGGGAGAGATCCTTCTTATTCCCATTTGAAGGTGTTTGGATGCAAGGCCTTCATGCATGTGCCGAAGGAACATAGATTGAAGCTTGACTTCAAGACTTCTCCTTGTGTGTTTGTTGGATATGGTGATGAAGAGTTTGGTTACAGACTTTATGATCCAGCAAAGAAAAGAGTCGTGAGGAGTAGAGATGTTGTATTTTACGAGCACGAGATGGGTTTTCATCTCTTAGGTGCTGGTAATACTTATTATCCTGATTTATCTCATGATGCTATTGATATGTCTCATGTTTTTGTTCCAGATGTTCAACAAACAGGTGATGCTCCCGATGATGGTCATGAAAATACTCATGAACATGACCGTATTGAAGAGGTACAACCAGAGATTGTGCCACAACCTGATGATGAAGCTGTTGAAACAGAAAGTGGAGAGTTTTCTAATCAGGAGGAGCAAAACAGCCCACAGGTGGAAGAGCCAATATTGAGAAGGTCAACCCGAGTTCGACAACCTTCAAGACTTTATCCAAGTTCAGAATATATCCTACTCACTGATGAGGGGGAGCCTGAAAGCCTTAAAGAGGTCTTGTCACATCCAGACAAAGACCATTGGCTGAAGGCTATGCAAGAGGAGATGAATTCTTTGAAGAAGAATCAAACATATGACTTGGTGAAGCGTCCAAAAGGGAAGAAAGT